GTAATCCTTGGTACAAGAACTTCCAAAGTGGGACTTGTAAAGGATCCATACCTTCGATGTCTTTGTAGCTGGAAAATCGGCTTTGGCGGATTTTGGAAGGGAAATCCAACCCATTCACCTTTTTGGAGTCATGAAAATCGACGTCCGGTTTCCATTGTTCCACTGGTGGGATTTCGATGGGACGACAAGTGTAGCCTTCGTGAATTGGAGAACCTCCTCCAGGTGATGACATAGGTCTCGGCGATCTCGGGGTGAGAGTGTGTCGTTGAGGTGTAAGGTTTGCGTGGTCAGGAGGTTGCTGTGAAAAGGTCGGTGGTGTAGGTGGGAAAGGCGGTGTCGTTTGGGCCCACGTTGGGCGTGTTGAGAACGATGAGGTCATTGGTGGTGGAGGAGGTACGCCAGCTGGATGCCAAAAGGGACGAGGGGTCGTCATTGCATAATGCATAGGGCCACGAAACGTCGGTACCGTTTGATGCCATGCATGGTGAGGTCGTCGAGGTGTGCGCGAGCGATCAGGTTGCGCAGCAGGGACAGCATTCGAATCTTGGCCAAAATGAGAGATCAGGTCCTGGGACGCCATGATGTAGACAGTAGCCGCGGGATGCTCGGACCAGGATAATAGCAATAAGCCAACTGAAAATTGCGGTAAAGGTGAAAATGCCGTACGAAAGGGCTACGCGCCCAGATATGTGTGAAACATGATGTGACACGACCAGGTGTGTGTGAAACATAAGGTGAAACATAACGTGACACGACATGCAGGCAGCAGTTCATATAAGTTTTGACGGAAGAAGTGGCAGTGAATACCGAATGTCGGGAGAAGCATTGTTACTCCAAAAAAGTCGGTCGGGGCCACTAGGCGCAATGGTTCTCTGCATTGGGGCACTCGTCGGATTGCAAAGTACTCCGCAATGATGTGGTGCTTACCAGCGCGATCTGGAGTAGTCGTGTGCTGACGTGCGGGATCGAGAATAGCCTTCGCGATGTTGGTCTCGAGAACGACCTTCACGGTACGATGAATAATTGCCGCGATGAGCATGCGTCGAGTCGTGCCATGTTGAGTTGTTGCTCCAGTAGTGGCGATTGTGATCCGGAGTTGTGTGATCTGTGGTCTCGTGGTGGGTAGTTGCCGATCTGGAATGGGTGGTTGATGGTGGGTTGGAAGGCGCAGGTAAATCAGTGGCAGTGGTTGATGGTGCAGGTGGTTCAGGATCAGCTGGTGGGTTGTCAGGAAGTTCACTCGGTGCCGTGATAGTGGATGTGCGTACCGCTGGTGGAGTGCGTGTGATCAACCCTTGGAAAACCGAGTGAGTAGAGGCGACATAGCATACTGATGCAGCACTGGAGTTCATTGCCGTAGCACCGTCTTTGCCCTTGGCAATCCCTTGTAGGTTGCACAAGCGTTGAATTTGGTCATTTCCTCCAGATAGGGCTCGCATGCATTTTGGGGAGCGACAAATGGCCAAAAGGCCTGATGGGTTTTGTCCTTTGCCAATTTTGTAGAGTTGGGATGTGCATGGCTTGACTGAGTGCGCAGGCAGCTCATTGATGTCGGCGATCTCCGAGGACATGCCGAAGAATCCGTAGCACGGGTACTGGGTCGGGATGCCAGCTTCGTTTTGTGTCCAGCTAGCCGGGCGAATGCAGTCTTCAGCAAGAATTTTGGCAACTGATTCCCAACTCGTTTTGTGATAGCTCAGGTAGGTGCCCGCGTGTTCACCACGATAAATAGGTTTTTTGGGTAGTCCCGTTGGCACCGTGATGGTCAGCAGGTTCTCCGGCTCCACATAGAAGGCCTGTGTTCTCCTTGCCAAATTTAAGTCAAGTAATCTTGCTTGTGCGAAGGCTTTGGCACTGTTCATGACAGTGGCTTGACTGGCTTTGATGAAAACCAGGTCATTGTTCATGGTGCGGTATGGCTTGGCCAACTGAATGAACATCTCATCAACGAAATTGTTGAAGAGGATTTTGGTGGGCTGGTCAAGTTCAGTACGAAGTGATACTGTATGATCAGGGTCCAGTTCTGTCAGGCATCGTACTCGTTGTGGATCTTCAGCAGCCGAGAGAAGTTCGCTGACTTCGATATCATTTTTGTCAAAGTGTGAAGTTGAAAATGCTTCTGCTGCATCTGAGGTTTCACTGTCACCATCAGGTAGACGGAAAGCCACGGCTCCAAGTGGTGCTGTTGCGTGTACTGGTGGGTTTGATGGTGGATCAGGAGGTGGTGGTCCCACAGGGGATCTGGGTCGGGTGGTGTCACGATGGTGGTCTGTCGGATAGTGGCTGTTGGTCCAATTGCCCCAAGAGTCATCAGCATCTGGTGTGGGAATGAAATCCGGATCCGAAGGACGTGCTGCTGGTCGTAGTATAATCTCATGGCCTCGAGGATAACGAAGAGGAGTTCTGGAGCGAGGCGGAGGAGTTGACCGATGACGTCGATGACTTGTTGGTGAGCGTCGTCTAGGTGGTGACCGTCGTCGGTAAGGGGAAGGTGTTCGGCGATCTTTGGGATGTTTGGTGGAGGATCGATGTCGAGGAAGAGGAGAACGAGGTCGTTCCGCACGGTGATGAGGAGGTGGTCGGCGATGGGCATGTGTAGGTGATCGAATGGAGCGTGATCTTCGGGTCCTGGATCGGGGTCTTCGCGATGGTGATGTCGACGAACGTGGAATGGGTGCTGGTGGAATCGAGGCAGTGTTGTGATCCGGAGCCGCAGGTTCAGTGGGTCTGGCCTTCGGGGCAGGTGGAGGCATTGGTGTAGGTGGCGTCGATGTGGGTGATGGCATCGGAGGAGTAGGGCCGGTTGACGGTAAATCTTGGTGAAGAAGTTGTCGTTGTTCTTGAAGGCGTTGGGAGTCAAGGATCATCTGCTGTTGAGCTTGAATGAGACGGACAGATTCTGCGAGTTGTTGTGTTGTAGAGCCCAACGTTGCCAATTCTGCTGGGATAGACTGTGGAGGTGTAGACGCTGGATCTGGAGGTGTAGCGGGAAGTGAAGCCGATGAAGCTTTTGGAGCTGAGCGGCGTGGTTTGTCCTGTTTCCTCTCAGATCGAACCTTTGGGGCTGCTTTGGCTGCTGTGTATTGAGGTGCAGTTGGAGGAATTGTCGATGTCGTAGTAGCCAATGGTGGAGATTGAAGGACACGAGGTGGGTAAGGTGAGCCCGGTAAAGGTGTAGGTGGTGTAGTCGGTGCGTGGGATGGAGTCGGAGCAGTAGGCCAAGTTGATGGAAACGTTGGTGCCGTTGGAGTTGCAAAAGCTGGTGGAGCGGTGTGCAAGGTGGTTGTGTCAGGACCCAAAGGTGTAGGTGTAGTAGGTACAAGGTGTGGAGCTGGTACTGCATGAGGGGCTGTTGCAAGGGAAGCAAATGACAGTGTTGGTGTAGTGGAAGCTGTCGGCAGGAATGAAGACGAAGAAGACCATGTAGGATGTAATGGCGAAGGTTGTCCAAATAAGTGCTCGACTGGTGTCGGTGTGGTTCCGGACATGTGGGGTGGATTTGTCGAAAACTGATGTGGGCCAATCGGGTATCCAGGTTGAGGAGTTGAGGTCGAAGGTGGTGCTGTCGTTGGCCATGTCATAGTCGGTCTGGGTGTAGATGCGATAGAAGCTGACTGCGGTAACCACGTCGGAGAAGGAGACGTAGGCTGCGGCGGGGTAGGCCATGACGTCGGAGGAGTGGTCCACGGATACATAGCTCGAGTAGAATAGAACAGAATGGAAATTCACAAGCAGGATTCAGTCCCTAAATTCCTAAATGTCGTGCGATTATTCCCTGCACCGGGACCGTGGTCAAGTCTTGCCCCAATTGGCATAAAACAGCTTTCAAGTTCCATCGAATTAGGTGCACAATATGTTTAACCTCACCAGACAACCATCAAAAGAAAAAGGACCACACCTGGAAAGCATGTGCCTGCCTTTCTGTTGTCACAAATGTTCAAAAGCTGAAGCTGCAGTTTCGAACGACTTCACACTGGCAGACAGGAATCTCGGCGAGAAAACCCTGGGACTACAGGAGCAGCGAGACTCTTCGAAAACGGTGGATAACAGTAAGGCCGACAGTTTCGCTTTACTTAAGCGAATTACCATATTAAAATGTGTGAATTCGGAATTCAAGTCAGTCGACATTGACCCCAACTGGGGTTGCCTCAATTGGCCCTATGGCACCATGTCGGAGCCACCATAGGAATCACACTAGACAAGAATGGATCATTATATGATCCGGCAGGAACTGAATCCTGAAACATGCAGATTAGAGATGAAACAACGAAATTAACAATGTATCCTACGAAAAATAGACGTTCAGCTGAATGATCTTCATGTTCAGAATCGACATCAAAAAGAATAAATAAACCAGCAATAATATCATCGGCGATGTCTCGGCGAAGTCTAGCCAATAAATAACTGTCGGCGACGATGTAGTCGGCGATCATGTAAACAGATTGTTCCAAATATGTTTTCTACGTCCTTGCTCTGAGGAAGGTTCTGATGCAACTGAACCAATAGTAAATGACCAAAAGTAATTCCAGATTGCGACAACAGTGCAGCAAATTGTGTAACATTGTGGTTGGGGTTCTAAGCTTGGCCCCTTGCTATGTCCGAAAAAAGCAGGTACGTGACAAAGGCGTCCCTTCGTCATATCACCATGGAAAGGCAGTGTCTTCGTTGGTGGATGACTGCCAGACCATGCATCCACCCCTGCAAACTAGTGAGAAACAAAACCGAAGTTTTACATCTTTACAGATGAGACACGCACACACACATACACATATATTACAAACTGCTTCTTACACCCGGTACACATATCGGTAACACACTACCAAAGTGACACGCCTGTACATGCACATACATACACACACACAAACTCACCCTCCATCACTCTCATACTTCGTCTTCCCTTGTTGCTGGTCTATGCTCAGTCTACGTCTGGTGCAGTTGTTAACATGTGGTGTTATCCGGTCCTATAATTCTTGGTTGCAATGGTATAGACATAGCAGCAGGTATAAGCGGCACGTCCTGACGATCAGCGAATTCTTCAAGAATTCAGCTGGTTGCCAAGTGCACCTGTTCGAGCAGTGAAATACAAGAGCTTTGTGGCACAAGGACGTGCAGGGTGTACATAGTACATAGTGTTACAAAATGTACAGGTCAAGGCAAAAAAAAATCGTTGCGGCGCTTTCTCTTCACTCCCTTTTCAGCCAAGGTGCGACGCATCGAAGTGCATGGAGGCCATCATATCAAACCTAAATTCACGCATGTTCCAGACAACACTGCAGCATTTTGAATAACATGTTAGGCAACATGTTGCAGCCAATTTAGGTTTCACCGGGGCCTTGGTTTCGAGGAGATCACGAGCAGGAAAGTGTCTACAAGACGATTTGCAGCAATTTGCACTACAGGGGGCAGCTGACTCAAGTGAAATAGCGCACTTCACAACATATTCTCCAAAATCAAAATGTGAATTGGTTTGGCGAGCCGAATTATGCTTTTGCATTTTCCTTCGACTTGAGGTTCTCAAATGCGCCTCTTCGTATGCATCGCATTTGCGTTCTGGGGCCATGCGCTTCCGGCAGGATGAAGATTACAGTACTGGATCTGTGGGTAGATAGATGTGGAATTATTGCACGCCTTGTTTATCGGGTAAGCATGAAAAGATGTATAAATTGTGCAACCTGAAGGCGTGGTGGTTTTGGGGTGACATGAACCTGTCCTGCTTTTACAAGGACCACACAGTGCAGCATGCTCTCCAAGAGGCTTGGTGTTGTTCATGTGGACTTCGCCTCAGTGACTCAATCAACAGACCCAAGAGCCACACTGTCTGACTGTCTGATTTGTGAAATCATGGAGCTGGTTTGCTGAGGATTTGGCGACATTGCTCCGTGAGAAGCAGGTCAGGAGAAGCCCTTCTGATGGTTGCATTTGACCACGCAGAACCTGCTGCCGCCAGGGTGAAGGTAAAGAAGAAGTGCCACCAGAGTTTGTAGGTGATGAAGAAGCGTGCGCGCTTATAGGATCGCCCTCGCCTAAGCCACCTGAGCTAGTGAAAGAGACAGTGTAGGGACGTGTAGCTTCAACTCGAGGGATGAATGCAAGGATAGGTTCAGCATTGACTACCTGGTGACTATCTGTCTCGACTTGAGGCGGCTTCGACAAACGGATTGTGTCAGAAAGGGTTGGGTATGCTCCTCAAATCTCGGAAGAGCTTTCAAAGTTTGTGACCAAAGCTTTTGCACAATGTGCGTTTAACGGAAATCCATGGGAAATCCCTTGTGTTGCAAGGTCCTGGATGGCTTCCCAAAGACAAGGGCACAAGCAGAATTCTTGAGGCTGGTGCTGGAATCAGACATTTTCCCTGCCTTTCACGTGGCTACAGCACTGTCATTCCAAGGATGCTTCCACGCATTTCTTAAGTTTGCAGCCCTCCCAGTTTACCATGTTGTGCCCAGGCAGGCTCATTTGTGGCCATCTCGCGTCATCCAGCCACTTCTGGCACGTGTTGGATTGCTGAGACAGAGCCAGAAGAAACAAGAAACTGGCCTAGAAAACAGCGGAAGAATATCAGTAGCGCGGTCCTTCTTCCAAAAGAGTTCATGCTCACCAGATTTTTGCATGTGGAAATCAATCATTGCTGGTGACGATGCGGAACGATTAAGACATACAGATCACACAGTGCTTTTCAGGATCAAAAATTTTAAAGCAGCGCAATATTCACCATGGCTTCCGTGACGGGGCTGCCTCTACAGCGGAATTGGTAGTAGCAGGTAGAAGTAGGAGGAGGAGGAGTAGCAATAATAGTAGTAGTAGTAGTAGTAAGAAGTTGTTGTTGTTGTTGTAGTAGTAAGTAGTAGTTGTAGTAGTTGTAGTAGTTGTAGTAGTAGTAGTAATAGTAGTAGTAGTAGTAGTGGTAGTGGTAGTGGTAGTGGTAGTGGTAGTGGTAGTGGTAGTGGTAGTGGTACTAGTAGTAGTAGTAGTAGTAGTAGTAGTAGTAGTAGTAGTAGTATTAGTAGTAGTAGTAGTAGGAGTAGGAGTAGCAGTAGCAGTAGCAGTAGTAGTAGGAGTAGGAGTAGCAGTAGCAGTAGCAGTAGTGGTAGTGGTAGTGGTAGTAGTAGTAGTAGCAGCAGTAGTAGCAGTAGTAGTAGTAGTAGTTAGTAGTAGTTAGTAGTAGTTAGTAGAAGTAGTAGCAGTAGTAGTAGTAGTAGTAGTGGTAGTGGTAGTGGTAGTGGTAGTGGTAGTGGTAGTGGTAGTAGTAGTAGTAGGAGTAGGAGTAGGAGTAGCAGTAGCAGTAGCAGTAGCAGGAGTGGTAGTGGTGGTAGTAGTAGTAGTAAGTTGTTGTTGTTGTTGTTGTTGTTGTTGTTGTGGTAGTAGTAGTAGTAGTAGTAGTGGTAGTAGTAGTAGTAGTAGTCGTGGTAGTGGTACTGGTACTGGTACTGGTACTGGTACTGGTACTAGTAGTGTTGGTAGTGTTAGTAGTAGTAGTAGTAGTAGTAGTAGTAGTAGTAGTAGTAGTAGTAGTAGTAGTACTAGTAGCACTAGTAGCAGCAGCAGCAGTAGCAGTAGCAGTAGCAACTAGGGACCTGCATTGTGCACTGGGCACCGGGTGTGGGTATCGTCTGTTGGCTGTCTTCGGAATGTGCCGCAGTTGTTTGGTCTTTGGTTGGCTGCACCGTGGCGATGTGGTTTGTAGTCCCAGGGGACAAGCTAACTTCGCTTGCTGCGGGCTGTGCGGCTGCATTGTGTGTGCGTGCTGTGATCCAGGGTTGCAAAGCACAGTTGATGGCTGGGCGAATGCTGTTCTTTGCTGCAGTTCGAAGGTGTTGTGCAAGTGTGCCTTGCAAATCACAACACTAGAGTCACTGGAGCACGGTTCCATATGTAGTTCATGGCTGTTTTGTTGCGCTTGACATGTAATCAAACGACCAACCTTCAATCCATCTATCAATTATATAATCCAAGTGATCCAAAACTCCGTGATCACATCACGCATGCTCTCCTCTTTACTCCCGGCTACCTGTCCTGCTGGAAACTTTCCCTCCACGCTCTACTTGTAATAGACAAAGATAACGCGAAATGCCCATGCTAGGGGGTCAGTGCCTCGCTTAGGCCTACGTTTTGGCTCGCTTAGGACTACGTACGTCCGAGATACATGGCTACAGTCTCAATAGAAAGATTTCAACAAGATAAACCCCAAAGGTGTGTAACTGTAACCAATGAATGTGTTTCATGTTGTGGCTCTTGCCTCCAGTAGTTCCCACTCTCCCCTTTCCTCTGCCCCCTGTCCCCCCCTAAAGATTAACCCTAAAGGTGTGTATCCAGTGGAGTCCAATGTGTTTGATGCCGTGCCTGTTGCCTCTAGTAGTTCCCACTGTCCCCTGTCCCGGGTCTCCTGTCCCCCCCGAAAGATTAACCCTAAAGGTGTGTATCCAATGGAGTCCAATGTGTTTGATGTCGTGTCTGTTTCCTCTAGTAGTTCCCACTGTCCCCTGTCCCCGGTCCCCTGTCCCCCCCGAAAGATTAACCCTAAAGGTGTGTATCCAATGGAGTCTAATCTGTTTGTCGTGTCTGTTACCTCTAGTAGGCCCACTGTCCCCTGTCCCCGCTAAAGAATAACCCTAAAGGTGTGTATCCAATGGAGTCCAATAAACACATGTCGTGTCTGCTACCTCTAGTCGTTAGATCCTGAAGCTTGGAACCTGTAGCTAGATCCATCAATTTTCTTCCCTTGACGTTTGGAGAGAAAGCCTCGCACGAAGCATCGATTTTGAGGTAGCAAATTAGAGGTTCCTAAGAAAACCCGTAGGAAATCGATTTTGAAGCTACAAAGTGTGAAAATTGGAGGAAGTCTCGCACGAAATGCTCGTTTTGATGCTCCCACGTGCCTCGTCTCGAGTCTCTGGTTTTCCTGTGGCCTCGCTGTGTCTATGGGGGAAGCTGCAAAACCTTTTCTTTTCGAAGGTTTCCAAGCAGGTTGTCATGTCGTTTGTGTGGCAGGCGCGGCACTTTGACATTCCAACCTGTTTGATAACGTGTCGAAAGTCTGTTTGTGTGGCAGGCGCAGTACTTTTGCGTCGTTTGCGTAAGATGTGTAGCAGTTTTCGTGGCAGCCGCGGCATGTTGGTGATCTCTGTCGTCGTTTTTCGTGGCAGGCGCAGCACTTCAGACGTGCCGCATTGCGTGCTCTACACTCCACACTCTACACTTTACACTCCACACGTCTCTACACTCTGCACTTTACACTCTACACTTTGCACTCCGCACTTCACACTCCACACTCCACACTCCACACTTGACACTCCACACCCCACACTCCACACTCTACACTTTTTACTCTACACTTTACACTCCACACTCCACACTTTACACTCCATACTCTACACTTTACACTCCACACTTTACACTCTACGCTTTACACTCCACACTTTACACTTTACACCCCACACTCCACACTCCACACTTGACACTCCACACTCCACACTCCACACTTTACACTCCACACTTTACACTTTACACTGCGCACTCTACACTTTACACTGTGCACTCCACACTTCACACTTTACACTCAACACTTTACACTGCACACTTTACACTCTACACTTTACACTTTACACTCCACACTTTACACTTTACACTTCACACTCTACACTTTACATTCCACGCTTTACACTCCACACTCTACACTTTACACTCCAGACTCCACGCTTTCCGCTGTACACTCCTCACTCCACAGGTTAAACTCCACACTTTACACTGCAGACTCCACACTCTACACTTTACACTCCTCACTCCACACTGTACACTGCCCCCTCTACACTCCACGCTTTACACTCCACTTTCCACGCTACACTACACACTCTACACTCCACACTCCACACTTTACACTCCACACTTTACACTCTACACTTTACACTCCACACTTTACACTCCACACTTTGCACTCCACACTCCACACTTTAAAAACTTCACGCTTTACACTCCACACTTTACACTCCACATTTTACACTTGACACTCTACACTTTACACTCCACACTTTATACTCCACACTTTGCACTCTATGCTTTACACTCCACACTCTACACTCCACACTCTACACGAGACAACCTCCACTTTACACTCTACACTCCACACTCTACACTTTACACTCCACACTTTACACTCCACATTTTACAACTTACACTCTAAACTCTACACTGTACACTTTACACTCTAAACTCTACACTGTACACTTTACACTCCACACTTTACACTGCACACTCCACACTTTACACTCCACACTCTACACCTACACTTTACACTACACACTCCACACTTTACGCGTTACACTCCACACTTTGCACTCCGCACTCTACACTCTACACTTTACACTCCACACTTTACACTTGGCACTCCACACTTTACACTCCACACTTTACACTCCACACTCTACACTCTACACATTGCACTCTACACTCCACACTTGACACTCCCCACTTTACACTCTAAACTCTAAACTCTACACTGTACACTTCACACTCCACACTCCACACTCTACACTTTACACTCCACACTTTACACTCCACACTACACTCTACACTCTACACTTTACACTCCGCACTCCACACTTTACACTTTACACTCCACACTTTACACTGCACACTGTACACTCTATATACACTTTACGCTCCACACTTTACAATCCACACTCCTCAATTTGCACTCCGCAATTCAAACTCCACAATTCACACTCTACACTTTACACTGCACACTTTACACTCTACACTTTATACTCCACACTTTGCACTCCACACTTTGCACTCTATGCTTTACACTCCACACTCTACACTCCACACTCTACACTCCACACTTTACACTCCACACTCCACACTTTACACTCCACACTCCAGACCCTACACTTTACACTCCACACTCGACACTTTGCACGCCACCTTCTTCCATATTCCACAGTCTACGGTGCACTGGCATGGTAACAGGGAAAAATGTACAAAACTGTTCAAAGGAACTGTTTCACAAAACTGTTCTACGTGACTGCAAAACAATGTGTTTCGACATCTGTACCATTAACATACGTGTGAGCATTCGGGTTCGTGGGCTGCATCTTGTTTAACGCCACCTATGAGTTATGCCAGGCTTCAAGTTGCAGATGCAGTTGTTGAAACACGCGCTTCGTCCCGACGCAAAGCGCTTGGCAGAAACCTTCCAGTAGCTATGGCACTCACTTTCCTTGCTGACATGCATGAGCCAAGACAATCAAGAAATGGTCCAAATTGTGAAAACCTAGGTGTGGATCCTGTGACTGGCATTGCGTACTACACGTGGCAAGCTCATTTGTCAGTGATTTCCGCCAAAACTGAATTTACTGTACCTGTTTCACTGCACAGAAACCAAGGAATCCAAACAGCGTGGCAATCAGACAGCGGCTCATTCAATGTCCACATGACCAGCCAGAGAAGGTGCACGAACATCATCATGCTGTTAGAGTCGTTTGACGTAATGAATGTTTGTCCCCCGACCACTTTTAACAATGAACATTGTATTTCCAAATGTTTCTGGCGGTAGAAACCTTTGGAGTGGCAGAGGGCTGAGCGCCTGCGCCACAGGTTCGTGTGCGAGTTGCCCTTTTCGGCGAGAACATACAGCAGGTTGCAGATTCCTGGAAGAGAGCCGCAGCCTGGGTTGATTGAATGTGGCTGAGGGGCGGAGCATGTCCTGTCCTTGAGATTCAAAACCTTGATTTAACCTTCTTATGAGGAAGTAAGGCTAGTCGCACGTCACGCAAACTCAGGTTATTTCCAATTCCGTTTCCATTTCATGCTGATTGTCTTTCGAGGTCTTTAGCTGTGTTCTCGCCGATGGCCAGCCGGAAGATGTTGCTGCAGGAGGGGAAAACGTGGTTCACCTTTCAAGTGCTATTGGCGATGCTGTGACTTCAACCTTCCGTGGCTTGTTTTGCAAGGCGTGCTGGAAAGAGTCTCTAATCCTCTGCAATCAGAGATTGCACAGGAGCTTCCAAACGAAACAGGTTTAAGCTGGTCACTCTGAAAGTTTGTTTTGTTTGTTCCTTTGGCTATGTTGTTTGAACTCCAGGACCCGAACAGTGGCCTCTGAGAGGTTTTTCACGACGCCTCTTGTCTTGTCAATCGCAAAAATTGAAGGAACTCTCAGGCCATGGGTTCCGCTCCCACGGATGCATTGGTAAAGCTAGTGGCAAGGCAAGTTTGAGCCTTGTGCTCAAGTGCTGGTTTCACAGGAGCTGAAAGCTGGCTTCTCTTGCAAGACAACGCAAGCATAATTATACCAAACCCCTCTTTATTCAACTTGTTCAGCCAACAAATGCAAAAAGGCTGGGAAAATGTACATGTACAGACTTATGTCGCCGCAAGGCTAAAGGATTGACATACTCCAACTCTGGGAGTCTCACCTGAAGAGTTTCACGCAGTTTGCTTGCTGGACTGCTTTGACGCCGGTGAAAGGCTTAGAAAGGCCCGCAACTGCTTTCAGACCTGCTGAATGGGTCCAAGTCTGGGTTAGGATCATGCGAGATCCATTCGGAGATCCATTCGGAGATCCATTCGGAGATCCATTCGGAGATCCATTCGGACCATTGGTTACCACCAGCCAAATTCCCACTGCAATCAGCTGCTCAAGCATCCTGGTCGCTTGCCCGGCGAAGTTGGGTCAGCTGCAGCTTCTTGTAGCTCGCATAGATTAGAAGATGTACTTTTGTGCAAGCAGTGGGGCCTGCAATGTTATATTTGCCTGTGGCATGTGCGCCCAGGGCGAGTTCCAAGTATAGATACTTAGATAGGATATGATACGGCAAGATAAGGCAGGATAAGATCAGATATTGATATCACGGGTTCTAAAGTCAGACTACAACCGAGTCCCTTCCCGGAGGTCCCCACCAAGAGGCAGATGCGGGTGCACCTTTTCGCTCCAAGTTGGGCTCGGTAAATTGAGCCAGTCGGTTGATTGGCCTTGAGCCAATTGAATGGCTTGAGCCATAGTTGCAACAGTCGGAGGACGTCCCAAGGACTGTGAAAACTTTAAAAAGACCTTAGTGGGGGTGCAGTGGTACTCTGTGCTGTTTTCCCAACCGCACTCCCCCTTCCTGCTCGCAGGAATCCAGGTTCCTCAACACCAAAACAACAAGTTCAGGGGTGGCCACGTTTCCACTGGGAACTCGCCCTTCCCCCAGCCAGAAGGGCGAAGACCCTCGTGAGCCATGATCCCAGGCTGGTGTTGGTTCCCCCTTCATCCAAGGTTCACGTGGGGTTCCACTTCGGGTCGACTCCAAAAATTGAAAAACTACAGCCCTAACTTCGTAGGTTTTTTGAATTCCCTCTCTCACCAGCGCCGCACTCGAAGAGCGCCCAACGGTGTTCTTTGGGTCCAGCAGCTGATGAGCTTTTCCCTGTACTGATCTTTTCCACCGGCAGCGAATGATCTTTTCCCTGGGTCTTGATGATCTTTTTCCTCAGCCACCGATGTACTTTTCCCGGCGATCTATCCTTTTTTAGTTCTTCTTTTTCTTTTTCTTTTTTGGTTCCCACTTGCAATAGGATCCGGACTTCTTTTTTCCTTCTGATCGCCTTGAGTTGCCATTGGTTGCGGAGCTATCCCTTTTGAGGGTTTACCATGAAGTTGTATTTCACCCATCTTAGCCACACTCCCCAGAAATTCCATCCCTTGAACTGCTACCTGATCCCTCATTTCTGTGGGACCCGACCTTGGTACATCTTCAGCAGCTCGATGTTCTTTTCGATTGGACCTGGCACAATCCAAGTCCCAATGTTTCTCTTGTCCATCAGCCAGGATGGTCTTAGGGATGGGTTCTTCTTTTCCAGAACTGTGCACTTGGGTAACATGACCGTGGTGATCTTGTACCCGCAAAACTTTCAAAATTGGTGGACTTTCATCCCAAAAATGAACCCTTCTTGGTTTTGAGTTACCCCTTTTGGACCTATTACCCCGTTTTAGGATACCCCTTGGTTCTTCTTCCTCAGGATGATCTTCTTGTTCAGGGATGTTCTTCTTCTCCAAAAACGGTAAGACCGACTCCAACTGGACCCGATCCTTGACCACAGTCTCAGTGACGCGATACGCATCAGCCAGTACTTGCACCAGCCTTCCAATGGCAGTGCTCAGGGCTTCATGCCGGAATTCGGCTAGCTCTGGATATTCTTTGGCCAGACCAACCACCTTTTTCACCAATGATACGCACCGACCAGCGATGACTCGGTAGTTGTCCCATGAGGAAGTCTCCTGGTCTGGTTCTTCCGGATGGTGTTCTTCTCCCAGAGGTTGTTCTTCACGACGGTTGGACCCTGTTGGTTCCTCATTTGGAACCCCGGAACCTTGGCGATTGACAAACCTCCAGAACCTTTCCCAGCTTGGCTTCACAGCGATGATCTTTGACAGCAAATCGGCCACAAGTTTTTTCCCCGGAAGGTCTTCATTCCGACCATGTTCACCTTCTTCCGGTTGATGTTCTTCAAGACGTGCAATCCCCTTCGTGGATCTTGCCCTTGAAGCATGCATTTGTTGATCTTGTTTCGGATCCACACTTGGAAATTCGGCGTCCCAGTTTTGTTGATGTTCCAGGCTGATTTTTCTGACGATGAACTCCCCCGAGTTTGGACTTCCATCTTCTTTTGCAGGTGCCTCCCCCGAGCCTTGATCGTCTTGTCCTGAAACTTTTGAAACACAAAAGGTTGAAACTTTTGAACAGACAACGGGCTCCCCCCCTGCTGGTTCATCAGCAGGCTCCTTTTTAAATCTGGAGATTTTGGTGGAGACTTTATTCGCTTCTTCCCGCGTGAAACGTCGGTCGTTCCTCTTTTCCGTGTCCATGCGCTCGATCTCGGTGATAAGAGCCAGGGCGTGATCCCTTCGCACCACTGGACATCCAGACCGCTCCCAGCATTTGGTTTTTCCCAGTCTTGGGTGTTTCACCGCACATCCTGCACGGGACCATGTGATGGTGTATCCCAATTCCGCAAGTCCTCTGAGAGGAACTATAGGTTCCACCGGACCTTCCGATAGAAGTGTTCCATTCATGGGATTTTGGTAGAGCTGCGCGGCTCCGTGAGCTAACTCCAAAGTGACCTGCACTGCATTCTTGATCTCGTCGCTGGTACCCTGTCGTAGGGGGTGTGTTGCACCACCATCCAAGAGACCCGTGTCTTCAACTTCGGGATCCCCACCATTCCCCAACGACTTCAGCATTGGCCCCGCGATACCCTTCATGTGGTGGTTCACCTCTTGAACCGCTTGAGCGGCTCGTTCGGGTCCGGGATTGATAGAATTTTTTGGAGTGACCTTGACGGTTTTCGCTTCGCACGGTCCACATTCCGCACTCTTACCAATGGTCTTCGGCATGGGTCCAGTAATGCTTTTCAGGAGATGGTTCACTTCTTGAATCACTTCTTCATTTTCCGTAGTGATTTGCGCGGCAGTTTCCGCCTCATCCAATCCACCTTCAACGCTTTCCGGTGCGCCCGCATCTCCTTCTCCTACTGACCCCCCTTTTGGTTCACGTGACTCACTTCTTTTCCCAGCAGCACACTCACG